ATCAACACCAAGTAAAATGAAAAATTGAAATATTGACATCCACGAAAACGATGAGCAAGTTGAATCCTAACTATTAATTAAGAAAAATACAAGAAATAAACTCAAAGAAGGAAGCAATAATTAAGGTGAAGTTACAACAACGACTAGGAAAATTTCCAAAAGACATGAATTCCGACCATACTTTTAGGTCTCCCGAGCAAACTTCGCACATGCCATTTAACTTCCACCTATTTTTACACTTCTTACACTATACGTATATATATATACACACATTTTTATATTAATTAATTGCTAATCATATCACAAAACATTTAGATAAGTGTTTTGTTGTATGTAATGGATAATTACGTGACCATTTGTGGTTGATAAATGATACGAATATATATATGGGCATTAGGTCTTCGCCATTAATTTTTCTTGTAGTCCCATGCATTGTCTTATTCATTAATTAGGTTACTTTATGTTAATATTTCGGTGTTAACTACGACTAAATATTTTGTTATATGTACACATTAAAAGATCGAATTATCCACATGATCAATCGAATATGTGTTACACCATCTATAGATCACAATGACGAATGGACAACTAATCTATGCTTGTATTTATTCAAATATAAAACATGTGTAAATTGTAATTATCTTAGTGTTGATAAGTCTTTTGATATGCTTGATTTTAAGATGAGTTTTACCAAAGGTGTGATAGCCTAATGGTAACACAAGAGTGTTGGTTCCTTTGTGCCCCGTGTTCAAACTCCTTTTGGTACGGAATGTTATTTTTTAAATCGAAATATCCAAACCGAAGAGATTATGAGCCAAAATTTTAGAACTCCAACGGTTGGTCAATTGGTGAATCTCAAAAACCAAAACAAAATTGGTGAAATATTAATTATGTGATTCAAAAAATTGACCATTGACATAATGTGATTTTGAACTACCAAAAAACAAGAACTATATATATTTTTGGTCACGAACTACCAAAAATATTATTGTAACTTTAACTTTGTTAAGAAAACCAATTAACAATTGAACTACCAAAAAATTTCGTTGTTAATTGATTTTCTAACAAAATAGATCATATTGTTGATGTTGACATGCAAAATTTGAGTTATCTTGTTATTTCAACATAAACTTTGTCAATCATTACATTTTGGGCATTTGTAGTGCCGTTCACGTATTTACAATTATATTTTGAATCTGGTATTTTTACACATTTTACTCCTTACTCCGTATAATCCTAACTTTCTTCCAAGATGAAAATAATTTTAACTATTTCATACGTCAACACATTAACCACATGTGTTAAATTCAGATGTATAGATTATTGACCACAATTCTAGTTAATTAAAAGTACACAATCTCATATAACAATCTGCACTTTCTCAGTGGGAGACACATGTACTTTTAACACTCTAGTCTCACCGGTGCTACCTAACAATTCAAACTCGGATTAACTGCAAGCCCACGACGCCGTTTCACGCGCACTTCTTTAGTTTCTGTTAAAAAACCTGAATTAGTTAGTTGTCTTCTAAAGTAAATTTATTCTTTTGCTTACCCAAAAAAAACAAATCTATTCTTTTGTTCTCTTATTTTATATATCTGTATTAAAAGAGAAATGAACTAAATTTTTTTCTTATATATAGACTCTTTTTCACTCAACTTTACTATTCATTCATCGAATAAATTTTGATCATTTTCAAAATTCAAACCATAATAATATATGTGTGATTTTTTTTTAATATCTTGAGATTGAATCGATTTTTACAAAGAGAATGAACTGAAAAATATTAAATAAGATAAACATGATATTCTAATTACCAAACTATACAGAGCAAGAAG